TGCAGGCGCCACACCTCGCCGGCGCCGGGCGTTCTTCTGCTCCTATGCACCGCAGGCCGGCCTGTGGCTGACAGCCACAGGCCGGCGCGGCCGCGCGGCTAGCAGCCGCCGCGGACGTGGCATTAGAAAGCCCGCGAGACTGGCAAGGCCGGAGCGCAGCGGCACAGCCTACCCTGCAGGCGCCGTCGATGCTGTGCCGCAGTGGTCGTGTTTCCGCTAACGGCCGCCAGGTGCCGCGGCGGCCGTCTCTCATCGGCGCGGGATGAGGGCCGGGTGTATATTTAGTTGAGTCGGTTGATGGCTATCGACCGGGCCTGCAAGACGGATGGCCGGCGGCCGCGCTGGACCAGGACCGCTCCGGCGCGGGTCAGCAGCATACGCGCCACCTCCGACGCGCCGGCCGGACTGAGGAGCTGGGGCTGCCGCCACGCGGCGGATGCTCTGACATGGCTGGTATGGGAGCTGCGGGACACCCTAACAACTGCACGTGGTTGCCTTATTGGGCATGGGTAGTGGATGAGTATGTGACTTCTTAAAATTTTATGTGGCGTGATTTGTAGTGCGCTTGCACGTGAACGAACGCACGCACGCACGCACGCACGCGCACACACATGCACACACGCACACACGCACACATGGGACGGAGTCGCATCATGCGCAAACTAATCGCTGGAATACTTTATCGCAACAGTTTGATAAAAGTGAGGACGAGCCCGCACGCATGAAACGATATGCTGATTATTTACGAGGTGGTAAAAATGTCAATAATGCACTCGTGAACGTCACTATCCAGAAACCCTGCATCTCTGAACCCTATAACATTTTAACCAAACACGGGCATAAATCACATGCAGAACGGACGCGCTTTCATCGGGATGCACACTCCTACATCATCTACCAGGTCGATATACAATATGAATAAATCAAGTGTCATCATTTCGGGAAAGACAGATAACTCATTTCCGTTCAACCTTGCCGACGCCTGAGCGGAGCGGCGGTCCTCTACACAGATGTGTGCTAACTTTCACAAAGATGAGTCGCCAGGCTGTGTTGGCAGTCCGTGCAACGCGACCCTCCGTTTCCAGAAGAAAAATCACTGAGCCGTTCGTCCGAAATCATGCTGAAGTAAACACCAGGTATTTAAGGTGTATATCCTATTTCAACCGTCTTTAACCGATTTCAACGCAGCTGATTTTAACTGTCATTTGTGTTTATGTCCCCATCAGGTAACACTTTGTAATGGACCTCAACCTGCGGACTTTGCGTCATGCACGTGATATGGTAAAACATTTCAGTGCTGTTGGATGAAAGCGTTTCAGGTAGATGTGAGGGGGTTCGATTTGGTGCACATACGCAACTAATCAGTTTTACAGAGTGTCAATTGCCTTGCATAGATGTATCCAACATGTTCAAGGACATGCAATTTTTCGTTATAGAGGTCGTGAAATGACGAAAGACTGGTCGCGTCCTATATTTAAAAGCAAATAACGTCATGTTGTTACTTGAGATAGCTTAACGCTGCGGACCAACGAGATTTAGCAGTTTATAAATCCTGCTGACTTAATCGGAACTGAAACGCCCGTTTATCAGATGCTGCTGATTTGGTATTTTAAATTTATAGCTTGTCCCAGCTTCAAAAAATAAAGTGTTACATTGTCAGGCAAGCCGTGCTTCTAAGCCAATACGTGAGAGCTTTCCTTTATATGATGTCCAAAATAGGGTAAAAATGTAAGCGGTCAAGTGTTAAAGAACAGAAACCTTCAGAGGTTACCATATAAAGGTATCTGCTATGAGCGCATATAACAGAATAACTTTGCATGGCGGCTGAAAGCGCGCGTTTAGTACCCCAGGACATGCCATAAGCCATTGATTTTGGTTAAATTTGGATTCAATGGGGCTGGTCAAGCCTGCAAACGGCATTGCTTCTATTCAGGTTGGCGCCAAGCATAAGTTTTCTAGCGTCTGGCCGGACAGTTTAACATGCGCTGGGGGGGGGGGGGTAATTTGACCCCCCCCAGGTGCTTTCCAGAAGGATTTCCGAAAGGTGCGGCATAGCCGCGCCAAACTTTGTATAACTGCAGGGAATTGAATAGAGGACCGTTTGATATATATATATATATATATATATATATATATATATATATCGTTTGATATATGATATATAATAGATGTAACTGGTAACGTCGCCAACCTATGCTAGGTCAAAGTCAGGTCGTGGCTGTCAGCGAAGGCAATTCCCGGGGAAACGTTCAAATTTGATGCGACAGCGCAGTGTTAAACGAAACCCTGCATATCTGAAGTAGACTCTCAGGCAATAAACCAATTGTGTTTCTAATTTCGACAAATTTTATTGGCCGAATGTGACGCATGAATTAAGTTCCATCCAAAAGGTGGCACTCTCTCTTTAAATCTGTCTATCTTTCAAAATCCCCAAGGGATCGCTGCTGCGAGATGTTATTGTGCGATTTGATTCGCCATCGCCTTGTTTGCGCGGCCACTCAATGCCACCTGGGACTCCTTCCACCATCTCTCCAGACACAAAGAGCGAATTGTTGACTTCACAGGTGTGCTGTTTCTCACCTATGGTGAAACTCCCACAATGAAGCAACTAATATGCAATGCAAGCAAAGGGCATTTGGAAAATTGTGGGCGACAGTGCCTTTGAGCACACATGCTTTATACTAAAAAAAAATACAGTACCATATATTCAACCCTTGCTGTGAATCATTCGCAAACAAGGGTGGCGGTGACATCAAACGGTGAGCTTCAGGCGAATGGCCTTCCCATCTCGGATGGCCTCCACGTGGCGCAGACGGGGCTGCACACCATTCCATGGAATGGGCGGCAGTCGTCCCACCATTCCACGGGGCGCCAGCGACTGCGATGGTCACAGTAATGCCCAACAGCTACAGCTTTAACCGGACGTCCAATACGAGCCTGCCACATGGAAACTCAAGTCGCTCAAAATTAGGGCACCACGGAACCCGAATAGTCCATTTTGACTTCAGATCGACTCATCCGTGCATCGCGTTCTGCACCCAGAACCAGTTGGGTCCCACCTGTGCTAACTTAAGTATCACGCCTGGATCAATTCGTTGCCCTCCCTGGATTGTCTCATTTCACCACCGAACCATTCCAGCCACAGCGCAGGAATCTAATGACGTTCCTAGGTTCAAATTTGATGCATTCCGACAAGCGGTTGGGGCATTGAAGCTCCTTTCACGTAGGCCACAATTAAACAGGAGGCGAGGGAGAATTCAACGACAAAAAACAAGAGTATAACTGCTATGCTCCTGTTTTTTCGTGTCATAAAATCATGGGTGTTGCACCCACGATTTATTCTTTAATAAAAATTCTTCCTGAGGGTTGCCTTATGCCCTGAAACCAACTGTGCAATTTTAACAATAGCCTCGGGCATTTTTAAGAGGTCTGCTGACAAAGGCAACTTTGAGAGCCTATAACGCAATTATAAATCTTTTTTTAAATTGCACAGAACTATGCACGCTAGACTTGCAATAAGATAGAACATTTTCCGGCCAGTTCCCAATTTGTCTATACTTAATTTCTACAATCGTGACATCGTGACCAAAAGCCAGGTGATCTATTTTGACCTTTCGGACATTCATTCCGTTAGGGCTGTTTAATGCAGAAATGAGGAGCAATAATTTTCCTTCACTAGACGATATAATGAAACATGCATTTTTTTAATGTTGCAACTACATATTCGTTCCAAACCCAGGATGCGCGGATGATTTCGTGATAGCTCCAAGCGTACTGAGTGATAATATGTATATGCGATAAAATGTTGTTGAAGCAAAAGCGGTTATCATCGAGCATGTCATTACGTGAGAAGATGTATCATTTGACCTATTTTGCCATCTAACTGTGCTAAAGTATCGGGGTATGGTGGTGCTTTCCGGGCTCTTAACAAGATTGAGGATAATTTCATTGCGCTGAAGTAAAAATCGGCAAGTAAAAATCTAGGCAGGTAGAACAAATAGGAGCATTCATGTTCCCATCTCCAAAAAGAGCCCAGCCGCGTGATGATGGCGGTGTCACAGAGTTGGAGAAGGGGAGAGGTATAAGTTGGGCAGCCTGGCGACGCTGCTGAAAAGGAGGTAAAAAATATTGCAAAGCTGTATCTTTTAAAGAATTGGAATGAGAGTACATGGCAGCATTGCGCTAAATATAAACAGACGTTTAATAGGCTGTTTTTAGCCCACCTCCGACGCCGTAAAAACAAAAAGCTACGAAGGCAAAGGGTTGACATCGTATTCGGCGGGCAAAAATAAAGGGTGGTCCCGTGTACACGATCGCAAAGAGCCGTGAACTAAAAAATCGCATGGTCTCTTGCCAGAGGCTCCTGAAGGGCGGAGAGACCTGAGCATTCCAGACGCGGGCAAGGAGAAGGTAGCTACCGAATGGGAAGGTGTTTTACGGGACAGGCCAGTCGGATATATCCGGACAAGGACGACTGTGTCAGGTCCGACTGTCCGGTGAAACTAAGAGTAGAGTGCAAAACGACTTGCCTTGGGGAATTTGCGTGAAGTGTATGACGTTTAAAAGTGGGAATAAAAAACCTGTCTGTCAGCTTCTCGACATTTGCTGCACTTCGTCCGAGGCACTGCACCTTGGCCTGCAGCAGTGATACGGATTCGGTATGCATGTGCACATATCATCAAAATCCAATAATTCTCATATCCGCTCTCAGCCTTGCTGATCGATGACCTCCTCGTAACCTTCCTGACCTTCTTCATCACGCTTTAGGTGACACGGCTTTCTTAGTTCCCGAGATGTCAGGGGGGTCACTTGACCCCCCCCCCTCATCCGAGCGAAGGGTATCCAGCCGGCCACCCGGGCACGTGTAAATCACATCGTCTCGACAAGTCAGGGGATAGCGACGAGCATGGTACAACCTTTGATGATGACATGGGTGGTGCGATTCGGTATAAACAGTGGGTTAGCACAGATCCCTGTGTGCTAGCGGAAATCATTTGAACAAATGACGAGAGTATGAGATCCCTTAGCCAGCAAGTCGCAAAATTGATCACGCACCATTTCGTAGCTGAAAAGCGGGCCAGTGCTTTGTCCGCGCAAATGGAACATCCAACGAGGGTGTAGAGAAAAAAATCACTCATTCGTAGTCCAAGGCGTGGCCCAAGGCTTCCAATCGGACTCCTCTCAGTGCACTTTACATTCGTTCGTAGCATGCTGACGGGAGGAAGGTATGCTGTGCCATCAGGGCCTCTGCCTCATTGGTGATGGTACAAAGCATAACATCACCATCGTTCATGCGTTTTTGCTGCGACATGTCTTAGACTTCGTACCTAGGTGTCCAATTTAAACATGTTTATTTCACAGACGGCAGCGTCGCACAGCACAAAAGTAGTGCACCTTCAGCTACGTGTGCCACCATGAGGCTGACCGTGTCACATGGTAAGAGGGTATGCGGCGGCATCGGGGACACGGGTAAGCGTACCACAGGACAAGAGAGTCTCAGGCGCACCCAAGATGGGCAAATACTGACGCTGGCGGAACGTGTCCAAATTTCCGTCGGAGAAACTGTTCAGCAAAACCATGATCATCTGTGTCTGGGTAGGAGGCGGCGAGCGTCGCAAACCACCTGACCGAACGCTCCTCAAGAGCTATCACGGTGAAGGGTACTCGGGGCTTTACAAGTTCTGGCCATCGACACCGACGACTTTGAGGGCTCACCATCTGTCCACCGACTCGGAATGCGTGATAACAGGGGGCGGTTATATGTGACTGGGAGCGTGCCGAGGTCAAATGTGTGGGTGAAAAAGTGAGCGTGTCGAGGTCAAAGTATTTCGCTTGAGTTCACTTGCAGATGAGCGGATCCTATCATTGCTGCATCAAGTCGTGTTGCATGGTTCTTTCAAGTCAGGTCGTAATACCACGCTATTGCAAACTGCCCATGGGGACATTATGTGGGGGGGGGGGGGGGGCATTGGGGGCTTTACGACACACTCAGCTGCTGAGGCTATATGACGTCGCCAGCGTCAATGCAAACGCGTCAACCACTACCCTATGGGCACCCTGGTGGTGATATTGTGATTCATATGCTATCTATATGTGATAGCATTGTATGTGATTCGTTGCGTGTGCAGTAAACGCGTCAATCGATACGGCCGTGTATGTTGAGTGACCAATGTTAATATGTAAGTACAATTCGTAGCGGAAATCATTTCATATTTTTCTTCTCAGGTGTTATTTCGGCTTTTTCAACTGTCGATCTGTCGTAGAATGGGCTAGGGACCTAATTTCGGACTCAACCTGGAATGCACAAAATATAGGGCAACCAGCAGTAACATCTATGCTTTGTCGCAGGGCTTGTGAACACAGCCATGGTTTCTTTCTCCGGCGACGTTTTTGTTTCATTATAGTCGTCGCTTTACGTCCCCGGGGTAGCTAATAGTATGGTGTCATGGGACCAAATACGCCGACGACGAAGGATGACGAATGATAAATACAATGGCAAATTCTTACGTAATGACGAAACGAAAACGTTGCCAGAGTAACGCTTATCGGCTATTTTGATATGCCTGACAGCAAACGGTGGGTCCTGCCCCTGTTTATCCCATTTATTTGCATGTTATGATTAATTATACCAAATTTCAGAATTACGTTGTTGTGAAATGCGGCAAAATCAAATGAGGTATCAGTGGAATAAACGCAAGCGTGAAAATGTATGGCTTATAGAAAACAGGTAAAAGGCTTAGATGTTCCAGCGACGGCTTTATGCCTCATTCGTAGAAGGCCTGTCATCTTTTGTTGGCGGAGGCGGAGAATACGAAATGAAGGAAGAAAGACAATGACAACGTGATTCGACGTTGCTTTCCGTGTTGATGCACGTGTGTGCTTTCTCGCATGGTAGCTGTGCGACCAAGGCGAATATAGCGAAAAGGCATAAGGCAACCAGCAGCTCAGGTTTCAAACTGGATAATTTCAACAGGTTTTTGCGGATGAAAAAGACATTAAATACCCCGGTAAAGTTTAAATATCGCGAAAAGGACGTATGGACTCACAGGCCGCCGCCAGGAGAAGAGATAAGGGGAAATGACATTTGCTATGCGTACATCCCAGTCCTGTGACAAACGTACATTTTACCTATCAGCTTTGCATACGTTACATCCGCTACTGATTTAGGTGTTATTAGATATGGATACAACTATCACAACTGGTAAAACGTAACAAATATGGGCGTAATGACAGCGGTGGTTTAACGGCATGTGATAAACGAGCAAAGCCTACCAGTTGCATTCGAAATATGTGCCCAATGAAACGTTTCGACTTCCCCTTTCAAGACTGCATCCGCCAAGATCTAAAAACAGCTGGCATATATGGTGCATATCTACGCCACAATATGTGATTGCAAAAGAATGGGAGATATTCGAAACCTTTGTTTGAAAGGCGCAAGAAGCTCATGCTCTCTGTGTGATAATTTTCAGTATGCCAACGGCGCTTCTCGATTTTTTCACCAAAAAACTAGAGCAGGCTTCAGCCTGTCGGTTGAGCAATCCTGAAAAGTCTGCCCAAATCTGTATCAAATCAACCGAGATGTCAGGGGCTGAACTGCTTCATCCCTGGTCACTTCCAACCAACGCGTGACATCAACGCCTTCCACTGCCTGAACGCATGGACGCATGCGAGACGAATTCATTCTTTCTACACAAACTGAAAAAGCAGGGCATATTTCGTTCTGGTACTTTTCCTCTTGGGGCAAATAATCGTCTTCAAACTGAGCAGGTCTACGAATAAAAGTGCACTTGCAATACTAGCTTGATGCCCTTTATCTGACCATAAAAAGCTGAGGAATTGGGTGTAAAACCATACCTCCGCTGACAGCTCCTTGCTCATTGGCCAAAATACTATTTTGATCGTTTTAGCAACTGGTTTTGTAGTGCCACTGTCGGGGATCGTGGGACCACGTCATATTTTTAAAGATCTTACAGGGCAATACCCTCTTAACTTGTAATGCATGTAAGGCATCGCTCGTCCAGTTTCAATTGATCTGAGACCCCTATGTATGTACAATAGCGCGAGCCGAACATGACCGGATTTCCCAAATCATCTCTGATGTTTGACACCGATTTCACCTGTTCCAATCCAGCTTTTCTGAAATAATAGCCGCAGAATCTTACGAATAGCGTTTGAGCCGAGCTCTGAGATGAGCTGACCCGAAGTTCCAACGCTCATCCGCTGACCCTTCTGCTGCCTTGCTGATGGACGACGCTTTCCCAGACGCCCGCGGCGGACTGACCTGGAGTTGGAGCGCCTGCTGCTGTTCTTGCCGGCCTGCAGATGGCTGAGGTCGCGCTGCCGCTGCTCCGTCTCCAGCCAGATGCGGTAGTAGAGCCCGCACATGATGAGCACGGGCAGGTAGAAGGCGGCAATGGCCGTGCCGAACGTCCAGTAGTGGTTCGTCTCCAGGAACTGGATGTAGCACTCGTGTGGCTCCACGGTGCGCTGACCCTCGATGTACGGCCAGGCGTAGATCCAGGGCGGCCAGAGGACGAGCGAGACGCCCCAGGCGCTGGCAATCATGGCCGCCGCGCGCCGGTTGGTGCGCCGCGCCCGGTACGTCAGCGGCCGCGTCACAGAGAAGTAGCGGTCGAAGCTGATGATGAGCAGGTTGAGCACGGAAGCGTTGGAGGCGAGGTAGTCGAGCGCCAGCCACGTGTCACAGACGGCGGGGCCCATCACCCAGCGGCCCATCACCAGGTACACGGTGTAGAGCGGCATCGAGATCAGGCCGATGGCGAAGTCGGCCACGGCCAGGCTGAGCAGGAAGTAGTTGCTGATAGTCTGCAGCTGCTTGTCGATGTGGAAGGACACCATCACCATGATGTTGCCGACGACCGTGACGGAGACGAGCACGCAGGCCACCAGCACCACGAACACCGAGTACAGGTTCTGACCGGCCGTGCCGACCGCGCTCGCCTCGTTGGTGACGTTGGCCACTTCGGTGGCGGCCGAGGGCGGCACCGTCGTCTGCCATGTTCCGGCCGAGCCGACTGGAAACGGCTCCACGTCCATGGCGCCGCCGCAGCGCGCGGCAGCCCTGCCGGTCAAACGGAGTCACCGTGGTGTCAGACAGGCTCGCTGTGAGACGTCTGCTGGTACGATACACGGCTAGCTAAGGAGGGCGCCGAAATACGTCTGTACGCCAGCATTATTTGAGATTTGTTGGATTGCTACACAGCTGTTAAAAACGGTGAGTAACAACTACGTCAGGTCACAAAAATTGGGCCAAATGTCGAATAGCGCAAGTGCATTTTTCACTGGCATATACAAACCCACTGCATTGCATGTCATCATGCAAACGTGGTGTCATGCATGCCATTGCAACGGATCACGAACACAGATAAAGTGCGTAACAGTTGTGTTTCGAACTTATATCAATCATCCGACGCGCATTAATATTTTCAAAGTTGGTTTCTCTTTTCAATTAATTCAGGCTCCTCCCTCTCTCTCTCTCTCTCTCCCTCTCTCTCTCCCTCTCTCTCTCTCTCCCTCTCTCCTCTCCTCTCTCCCTCTCTCTCTCTCTCCCTTTCTCTCTCCCTCTTCTCTCTCTCTCTCTCTCTTCTCTCTCTCTCTCCTTCTCTCTCTCTCTCTCTCTCTCTCTCTCTCTCTCTCTCTCTCCTCTCTCTCTCTCTCTCTCTTCTCTCTCTCCTCTCTCTCTCTCTCTCTCTCTCTCTCTCTCTCTCTCTCTCCCTTTCTCGCTCCTCCCACGCCTTTCGTTTCCCCACTCTTGCACTTTTCCACTCGCCCGCTCCCCGCGTCAGCAGAGCATGGCAGCCACATACTACCCGGGCCTGATCAATAAGCCTTTGATGGGATGGAGGCGCCCTGCCGACGTTATTCTCGGCGGGGCGGTGTTTCACTCTCTGTCGTCCACTGCGGTTGGCCGTCAGGTGTCATTTGCCTAAGCCAGTCAAAGCCAAATGTCAGACTGATAACCTTTCCTTCTGATGTCAGAGATGTCATAGTTCATTGTGGATCTCAGCTCTTCCGCTTTGTTGGCAAAGAGAGCGGGATGTTTGAGGCATGTATGCAACCAGCAGCTGTGACGTATTGATGTGGTTACGTGCGTCGCCTGGTGGTATTCCGTACGCGATACGACCACTGTAAGCCACTTGCAGTATATTAAGTACAAAGGGAGCGGCCGATATTATGCTTTGGACTTAAAGCGCTGCTTGGCCGACAAAATTGCATTAAGACATCCTCAAAGCGAAATCTAATCACAACTGAAGTTCGGCATTCATTAAATACAGTTTGGAAATATTCATGCGTGCAAAATTGCTCCTACGCCTCTCTGTGCCCAAAGGCAGAGGCAGAATCCCTCGTAGTCTTGACTGTCCCACCTAATTCAATGAGGGACATGTCGCAGCCCTCCACCATCGAATTGGCCGGAAGCTTCAGGCGGTGTGCGTCATGGCACCCTAAGCCGCGGCTCTCTCTCACACCAGAGGACCGGAGCCTCACCCCGGGTGACGTCACGGCGGAGAGGTCGCGCTGTCGTCAGGGCTGACGTCACAGCCTGCCCAGCCCTGCCGAGCTCTGAGGTGGATGCATCAAACATTCTCTCTTATCTCTCTTTATCTATCGTCTATCTCCTACTCTCCTCTCTCATCTCTCCTCTCATTATATCTCTCTTTCGCGTTCCTCTCTCTCGATCTCTATTCTCGCATCTTCTTCGCTCTCTCTCTCTCTCTCTCTCTATCTCTTCTCTCTCTCTCTTCTCTCTTCGCTCTCTCTCTCTCTTCTCTCTCCTCCACCCTCTGTGCGACTATGGCTAAGGGCAGGCGGAACTTTTGAAAGCAGACGGGAGCTGGGCCTGCGATCTGATCATCAGTAGTCCACTCCACAAGCGGGCGCTGCCTGCGGCATTTCCTTCCGCGGCCACCCCAGGGGTTAAACGTAAGCCTCTAGTCCAGTCCAATTTAATTCCCGGATCGGCAGAATTCAAGGAGCGGCCAGTAATACTGGCCAAGTTAACGCAGAAACCTATTTTTGAGCCCGCTGGTAGTCTTGATATTTTTCAATATATTTACACCGTTTCAAAAGGAAACACTGCATAATACGCAAGTCGTAAAAAATTAAAAGGCAACGCCATTTTAAGTCAGGATTAAGTCAGATTGAGATGCCTACCTGTCAAATTGCTTGATCAAAGTACATTTTCGACCTTTCCTGTTTGCATGTCATATGCCAGTCACTGTTTTGGGAACGCGTCGGTGGTGTCGACCTCTCAGTTGCAACTTGGCGTAACAAATCATTTTGTCTTAACATCTTTTTCTCACAAAGCCTCTGATGGTCGCCTGGTATGTCCTCGCATATTGCAATGGGTGCTGACTTAGACACAGGAAAACTGGCCTCTGAATACGAAAGGAAATGCACATCATTGCAAGTGTACATCAAAATCATGGTGTAAATATTTCGTGCAAACGCCCCTTCACCATGAAACTGTGTGAAGAAGTGACCACTTTTCAGGCACTGAAAAATATGCTGGACCTCCTTGGAATCGTTGAGACGTTGCTCCCGAGACTCGTAAGGGAATTACTTCAAAACCACTTTCCGAGCGTACGCAGGAAAACACTGCAGCTGCAGAAACGCAACGTTGTTGAATGCTGCTAACAAGGAAAATAACCAGTTGCGTTGCACTGCATCTTTCAAACTTTGGTCCGGCCACGGTCGCGTATCACAGAGAACCACAGACACTCGCTTCTCAAATACCGGCATTCACTGGCGCAACACAGACGCAACACCGATAACCGATACCGCGGTCGTGTCGGCGTCACCTGAAGGTGGAGCGGAGTTACGGCCGATCATCTGTCCAGACCAGAGTGACCTGGTCACACTGACTTCAGCAGGTGACTCCGGTGACCGGCCAATGTGCGTGTGAGTGCGGCCGATCGATTGCATTTCAGCAGTACATAGTGCAATTAGTCAGCCCGGTCCACACACACCGAACATGCCGGACGCAGCCAACGGAAAAACGACAAGTGATTTTGCACCAGAAACTTCACCCAGACATGTCGAGGCCTCCATGACCCGTGACACCAACGCGGCAAATTCGAGTCCCCGCTCTGTGTCTGGCACGATGCGTAATGCGGTCAGCTGCACCGGACACCTGGAGCTGTCACGTCGGACACCGGAGCTGTCACACGGGACACCGGAGTTGTCACACGGGACACCGGAGCTGTCACACGTGGTTAGCTGTGGCCGGCTCCGCAGGACGGCAGCACTTGCCCCCCCCCCCCCCTCCCACCCACTGAGGGTCTGATGGCAGAGGCAGATCTGCCGTCAGTTACTCTGGGTGTCAGGCGCTGTGTCGCGCTCAGCCGGCGTCGAAATCCGACTCGTTCTAGAGTGAAAAGGCCTTGGCGTGCGTTCCTTGATCGGGAGTGTTCCACATTTGTATTTACGCCAATGCACACATGTTTAAAGTTCATCAAAAGTTCTAAGTGAGCTTAATTCATTGTATCTGACTGTTGTTTCAATCTATTCAAATGAAGAACATTCCCTTAAACATTATCAAAAACCAGCACCACACAGCGCGCCTCAGCCCGCCTGTGCCTCCTTGTGGAAAGTTGGGTGACCGGCTAATGCGTTCATTGTGAGTTCCGTCAAACTTCGTGGGCAGCGCTCAGCACTGTCCCACATCGCAAGACAATTCGTTACTTTTGTTTTGAAGCTCTTTAGAAGCATAGCGGCAGGGGAGCGCATTTGTGTGCTCGGAGTTTGCCATTTCCTTCCGAACTTATGGTTCGACTATGACAGGTCTACTCCTGGAAGAAGGTTATGATACCTGCGGATTTGTCCACCCCACAGAATTGGCTCTAAAAGTCCGGGCTTTAGGCCCCACCTGCGGGAGTCGCAGTGATGAATCATGGGCGATTTCCCTGGAGCACTGTGTACCGCCTTCTCCACGACCTTATTGTTGCAACGGTTGGCGCGCTGAATCATCCGTTCGTCTTCCCTGCGCATCTGTTTGCTCTACCACCCCGACCCCATCAGCAGTTGCCCCTCGCCAAGGTGTCAATTCCTGGCGAAGATACTGGCTGACTCACATCCTACCCGGGGCGCAGCCATAGCCTTGGCAAGGGGGAAGGGGGGCACATGGCTAAGAAAGAATCCCCTGAGAAGTAAAATCCCTCCTCCGAATAAAATAATCGCGGGATGAGGCCCACTTGTTAGTGAGGAACACGGTTTGCGTTGTCTTGCTATCATTTCACCTTTTATGACAGAAGCAGAAGTCAGAAGTTACCGCGATATCAATTCTCTTTGAACTTAACACATAGTTTTGAAAACACCAGGCGTTTAACGACTACATGTGATAAGCCACCGGGACTGTTCATTTTACAATGGTTCATTGGACTTTTTCTAGACCAGTAGAACTCAGACCCTTCGCCGGAATTTTTATGTTGATTTAGAAAGATATTGAGGAACCCATGAACGTAAATTTTTGGTCGAAATGGGTAAAATATTTAACATGACAAACCAATGTTTGCCTGGAAATGTCCAATAGCCAGCCGCAATTAAGTAATGCGAAAATAATGTGAGGTAATTTTGAGCATGCACGCTCGCAAATTTTACAATAAAAACCACGTCAACCACGTTGCTGTCTTCATTGGCTGTCCGGCATTAGCCACACGGCCAATAAAAAGTTATACATTTGCATGGGATCTTGAACTGAAATAGCCATATCGAAATCCATTCGGTGTAGTTCACCGCCCTGCCGTTCTTATGACCTAGCCGCTCTTGCTTCTGAGCTATACACTCACTGAGACGTGCAGAGTATTTCTGAGAGTCTATTTTCAGGCCACTCAAGCAGCCATGACACCGCAATAACGTCATTCAAATGCTGCCGTTCCATTGGCTATGCAGCGATCAAGGCCAATAAGAATGTGATTGTCGAGTCGTTTATATCTGACGTTCGTGTGCACGATTTCCAGATATGACGGTCGTCAATTGGCTCTCAATCAATGCTGTGCAAGGTATGATGACGCAATTAAACAATGACATATTGAAGAGCATGGTTACTACATGGCAGAACAATGTGTGGTATAGAGCAGCATTTAAAAGCATACCAGTGGTTACAAGTGAGTTTATTTCATCGCATCTAATGTTTCCTTCAATATCGTCAAATGCGCAACATTCCCTTCAAGCGGTGGCTAACGAGCGGACGAAAATCTGGTGGTGAAACTGAAAGAGTAAAGGTAAATCTCTATTTTCGTCTTGCTGTGACTCGTAAGCCGTCCAGAGACTAGCTTCAAAATTATTCAGGCATACGCCATAGTTTTATCTTTGAACGTTGCGGATTTCATTCGGAAGACTTTCGGAAGCATTTTTTCACGGCGGTCGTTTTCGTGTGCGAGGCGCCCGCCATCTGGAGTTCCCTGTAGTGGAGCACGCCGCTCGGGTTTACGGAAATTGCATTCTATGCACAGTTGTGCTTGCTTCTGAGATTGCAAGCGTGCAGGTTCAATTTTTTTGTACAATTGTTTTCACTATTCGATTCTGCGATAGAATGAGCATTCGCAGGCAAACATGGGATGTCTTCTTTCATTTCTAGACTTACTTTGACCCACTCTTTTCAGCACTTTTCCGGACAAGGGGCCCCTTGAGTAGGGACATCCTTTTCTTTCCGGTCAAGGGCTGAAGGACAATGCCGTCCCAACGTGGGGAGCCCTCTGACTGTCATTCTGTAGCCACGGGGCCGGGATATCCTGTTCGATCCAGTGGCCCCTAGAAGGATACAGCATACCATATTGGATCGCCTCCTGACAGGGGGGGGGGGGGGGGAGGGCTTTCTGACCATGCAGTTGGCTCCAAATTAACGTAGAACTTCCATTGAAGCAACAACATCCCTGATCCCGCAGGTGGTCCAATAATTGGCACAAAGCCTCCAGTTCGGCTGAACGGGCCCATTCTGCAATTGGGTAAAGGACCCACCATTCGGAACTGGGGGCCCTTACTGACACAGGGGGGTTCCATTCTTCCAATGCGAATTCTCATAGTAAGTTCTCAGGTTTTCTTTCATTGCCAGTGGTCCCCGACAAAGACAAGTGGCCCTTGAGACCACGGCCCTACGGGCACCTCAAGGCCTACGGGCGGTAGACCTTAAGGTGACCTACAGCCAGCCCAGGCCGGGACCCTCCAGCCTTTCAATCGGGCCCTTGCTCTTTGGTACCGAATGGCTCCCCCCCCCCCCCCCCCCCAACACGGCTCCTGACGACTCGGAGCCCCTTGCTGACACAGGACCCACTGTTAAGCACTGTGAGCCCTTAACAGACACATTGATTCAAGGACCCCGACCAATGCAAATCGCGCGCCCGACCTTGCTCGTGCTTGGCAAATGAATTCCCATGGCTCAAACAGACGCAGAGCCGACTGTCCGGTGTTGGTGGTCTCCGGCCGAAATAGAGGCCCGCACTGTCACACGGGTCCCCAACCGATGCAAGAGGCCCTCTGACTTTGGAGGTCTCAGGCATGCGTGTGGCAGGAGGGAGGGGGGGGGGGGGGTACGGGCTGTACTTATTGCGACCTACATCGCTAACCTTATTGTACCTTGGGGCCCCTTGCCAACACGAAATCCCCTTTTGGCACCTGCAGGCCCCTGACAGATACAGGATCCCCACCATCGTAAATCCCCATCCCAATCCCCATCCCCAGGAATCCCCATCGTAAATCACCGGCCCCGGCTTTGTCTCTGCTAAGTAATGGGTCCTCCAGCTCATATCGACAAGAAGCCGACTGAGAGACACTGGTGATGCCTGACCGAGGTTATCGACTCAGGGGGTTCCTGGTCGGCGCAAAGACCGGCTGGGGCTACGATTACGTCCTCCGGCGGGCTTTCCGAGTCCTTAACCGTCGGTCCTGAGGGGCCCTTCCAGCCCCTCTGAACCTGAAGGGGGCACGTGCCCCTTATGTCTCTCTGCCTGCGCCACTGCATCCGTCACCTGTGACGCGCCGCGCCTGTTCAGCATGCCGGCCCGCATGGCCCCCGCCCCTCCCCCTGCCGCTCCGGTCACGTGACGTCCGCGCACCAGCTCCGCATGCTGAGATGCGACACAGACCGAGGGCGGTGCAGCGGCGGGGGGAGGGGGAGGGGAGTAGCAGTATGTGTCTGCCCCTCAAAATTTTTGGATGTCTCTTTCTTCCGAATTAAAGGTATGGTAGCTATCCGCAGATTACCCAAATTCAGAACGAGAAAGCCCCATAACTGAGCTAGGAAAGTTAAGCATCCTGGCTCCGTAAACTCCTTTTCTGCACGAAAGGCCTGTATTCTGGATCATAAATCCACCTTTATAAGCAAGGTAAACTATGCACTATATTAGGAGGTTCGATGCTTTGTTAACGAGGCCCTTCTGATGGCTTGGGCGGCTCCTGAGGCACGATTGTCGGTTTGAAGTTACCACCTACATTCAGGAGTCCCACGTCTGGTTGCGAGTCTGTTCGTCTGGAACAGAATGCACCTTCCGTGCATGAGATGGCCGCAGTTCCAGATCGGAACGCCCTGTTTTTGGATAGCGAGGCCACCTGGCTAGACACTGAGGCTCCCTCGCCGATTGGAAACGGTCTATTTTGGTGATGGACGCCCTGCATGCATCAGGATACCCTTTCATGGAAAAGGTGGCCTTGATTTGGGAAAGCGAAACCCTCTGCTGGATAATCAAAATGCCCCAATTATGGATTTATTAAATGTCGGCATGTATTTGCTTATATGTGGTACGCATAGGAACTTGATAAGAGAGCACGTACACTCGGTGCCCTTCCCTCTTGAAAATGACGCTGCTCAGCAGGCCCCCTGTGAGGAGGCCCCGTTTTGTCCACGAGGGCCCCTGGAAAATCCTGCTTCCCCCCCACACTCAAAATCCGCGGCGCTGCACCTGACACAGACGCCGCCCGCATGCACCTGCAGCTATGTGCACGACTCACTGCGGCGTGCACGTTGCCGTAGTAGAACTACAGGCATCGGAGCTGCTGCGAGACACTGTTTGGCTGTGTGCTTCACCGCAGAGAACTAGTTAGACCGCCGTTGGGTGCGGCGCATGTGGCAAGACCTGGCGAGCGAGGCGAGCCGGCGAGGGCTGCCTGACCTCCCGTCCGCAGGGTGCGGCAGCTGTTGACCTTACGCGGCAGCTGCCGACCTCACCCGGCAGTTGCTTCTTTGGGGCACCGGCTGCCACGGTCCCTGTAATGACATCTGTTGGCTTGTTGTTCGTTCTCCATATGCATCTGTCATTCTCAGCGACGTCTGATGGTTTTCTGATCACCAAAAGCAGATTATCTTATTCCATTTACTCCGGACAAAAAAGTCCTCTGGGAATGCCTGCAGTTGGGCAAAAAGGCCACTGTGTGTCGTAAGTGGAACGGATGCTGATTGGAACGGAACGGCATGGAGTAGGGTCGTATTACTCCACGTAATAGAATGACGCCGGGTCGGCGCTGGATCGTCGTGCGCTATCTGCACTGCTCTTCCAGAGAATCGCAACATATAGGCCACGCCTGAATCGCAAAACATAGGCCGTGCCCCGTCTGCCTACTTCCGAACAAGCGTCCACAGCGCTATGAGAGAGGCAGATTTGGTTCCAGCAGTGACGTATGCAGCTATAGGAAATGGATAGAGGCAGAAACGATTTCGAGTCTTTCCTTATTGGGACGTAGCGCCGCTTTCCAAATTTGGAGGGAATATGCCGACAGCACTGTCTCTTTTACGATGTCCACCACCATTTTCTCGAATTGAATGCTTCGATCGACGCTATAAATTGAAACATTTATGACGATAGCTTTGACGTGCAACCCACTCAAATGGAGCGTGGTATTAAGCAGGAACGCCACGCCCATATTAGGCTCATCCTTGATCAAAGCTGCCAGTAATGCACTGC